TAACACGAGTGACAGCAGCAGAGGTACTGAGAAAGGATTGGAAGTGTGGCATTTTGGGTAGAGCCAGCATAGGTGGTGGGTGTGAGGAAGGAGAGACAAGTGGGGAATGAGTCCTGCCGTTTGGGGCCCAAGGTGGGACCTCCAGGGAGGAGTAGGTGGCAGTGGGCGTTTAGGAACTTGGCTTTGGCCTTGTGATGTCTAAACAGTCAGTTCGATGTGAGCCTGGAGTTGAGGAGAGAGGTCAGGGCTAGGGGCTACTGGAAACCTTGAGGCTGAACAGGATCTCCTAGTGAGCAAAGGTAAACAGGCAGAGAGATCCGGAGACAGGCCTGTGAGCAGCCTACATTTAGACAGTTACAGAGACCAGGAGCCTGAACACACTTCTGGGGGCTAGTGGAATAACAGCCTCGATTCCTGGGAGTCCGGAAGGAGTTTTGTCCTCCCCGCACCATCATCTCTACCGCAGGGTGGGGAGTTGTCCCGGGTACCAAACTGCTCTTGCAGGCCCTGATTCCATTCCCGCAAAGGTTTCTGGGAGTTGTAGTCCCAGCCCTGGGTGGGGGGCGGGTCTGAGGAGCTGCAGTTCTGGTTCTGGGGGATGTTAGGGGCTGTGCTTGCCACCTGGAGCCTCCTGTCCCTCTCACCTCCGCTCCCCTTCTCCCTCCCCTCCAGGTGTCGTGGCTGGGTGAGGAGCCAGTGGCTGGGGTGTGGTCAGAGAAGGGCCAGGTGGAGGTGTTTGCACTGCGGCGGCTTCTGCAGGTGGTGGATGACCACCAGGCCCTAGCGACCTTCCTCCGGGATGAGCAGGCCCGCGTGAAGCCCATCTTCGCCTTCTCTGGCCACATGGGCGAGGGCTTTGCACTCGACTGGTCCCCTCGTGTGCCTGGTGAGTCCCTGGGGTGTGCAGTTAGCCCTGAGGGCTGGGTAGGAGCAGGGTCTGCAGCAGGGGTGGGTGCTAAGGTGGGAGTGAGCTGTGGCCAGGCGGGACAGGGTCGTGTCCTGACTCCCCTTCGCAGGGCGCCTGCTGACCGGTGACTGTCAGAAGAACATCCACCTCTGGACGCCTGCGGACGGCGGTTCTTGGCATGTGGACCAGCGGCCATTTGTGGGCCACACACGCTCCGTGGAGGACCTGCAGTGGTCTCCAACCGAGGACACGGTGAGGGAGGGCTGGGGGTCTGGACTCCTGGCGTGGGGAGGGGGGGCAGGTCCTAATGAGGGGATCACTAAAAGAGAGGGTAGCCCACCACTGGACCCCGGTCTCCAGAGTGGGGCGGGGGTGCACCAGGTTGCCTCCGACTCTGCCTTGTCCAGGTATTTGCCTCTTGCTCAGCTGATGCCTCCGTCCGCATCTGGGACATCCGGGCAGCCCCCAGCAAGGCCTGCATGCTCACCACCGCCACCGCCCACGATGGGGATGTCAACGTCATCAGCTGGAGCCGCCGGGAGCCCTTCCTGCTCAGCGGCGGGGATGACGGAGCCCTCAAGGTCTGGGACCTGCGGCAGTTCAAGGTACTGTCCCAGCTGGACACCTGGGGCGGGAGAAGCTCCTGCTACCGGAGGCCACTAGGATTTGTGGGTTTTCCCTCCTGAGATGGTTTATACACCAGAACTGGGAAGGCCCTCTGAATTGGGGTCCAGATGAGGAAACAGGGTCAGCGAGAGGAAGGCTTGGGGCTGCTGTGGGGTCGCTCCCTCTACCATCTGGAGATCTGACACGAGGGAAGGGGCTGGGTGGCGGAGACTACGGTTCTCATCTGCCCGCAGGGAGCCATGCGCCGGCCGTGCTGCCCAGGGACTCAAGGGCTTCAGAAGACGGTCATTTTTCTTTCCGTGGATTTTATAGCTGAGAGCAGAGCCCAGCTCACTCATTTTGGGAGGGGGAACTGAGGGCCAGAAGAGACAGGAGCAGGTAGGATGTGACCACCCAGCTAAGCGTTGACTCTGCAGAGCTGAGAGGGTCTCCAGGCAGGAGAAGTTGCAGCTCCTGGCCTCCCTCTGGACAACCTGGCCTCCCTCTGGACAAAGCCGTGACTTCATACACCTCTGGGCCTTCCCGGGATTGTCTTTTTACTCACCCCAGTGTAATGAGTTCTACAGAATCAGCCCTGGGGAAGTTTCTAGAAATGGATTCCAGCCCCCCAGGCAGGTGCATGGCCAGGTCACAGGGCCAAAGTGGATTGGCCACTGGAACATTGGAACCACTTCTGCAAATGAGAGAGACACCAATCCCCACCAGCACCTTCGCTTTAGTAAAAGTGTCGTTCTTTGCCTCAGCTCTCTCTGGAGCCTGGGAGTCATGCCGCTGCCCCCTTTAAGGCCTTCTAGAACCAGCAGGCAGAGAGCACTTGCAGAACCACGCCTTCCTTTTATAGGGAAGGAAACTGAGGCAGGCCCAGGGAGGAGCAAGGGTTGGGGTTTTGTGGCCTGGAGCTGGGAGGGGCTTCTTTGCAGGTGAAACCAAACTCCCAGCAGCCCCTGGGACATCACAGCTTTATTACCAGCTGTACTTCGTGCTCTGTCCCTTTCAGAGAACCTGGGTTTGTGGGGGGCACGAGGGGTGGAGCCCTGGTTGAACCCTAAGGCTGGAGAGGGGTGGGAGTCTCTGCCTGGGTCACCCCAGGCATCAGGCTGAGGGGCTCAGAGGCCCTGACTCCCATCTTCCCATAGTCTGGCTCCCCGGTGGCCACCTTTAAGCAGCATGTGGCCCCCGTGACCTCCGTCGAGTGGCACCCCCAGGACAGTGGGGTCTTTGCGGCCTCGGGTGCAGACGACCAGATCACACAGTGGGACCTGGCGGTGGAGCGGGACCCCGAGGCCGGCGACGCGGAGACTGACCCTGCGCTGGCAGACCTTCCCCAGCAGCTGTTGTTCGTGCACCAGGGCGAGACGGCTCTGAAGGAGCTTCACTGGCACCCGCAGTGCCCTGGGCTCCTGGTCAGCACCGCCCTGTCAGGCTTCACCGTCTTCCGCACCATCAGCGTCTGAGGCCAGCCGGGCCGCGTCTGTCTGGCCCTCCACTTGGGGACTGAAGTTGAAGTTCATTCCCCTGGAAGGGACTCGTTCAGATCCGTTGGCCAGCGCTTCTCGAGCAGGACTTAGTTTGGCCCATCGGCTGCCGTGATGGATTCTGTTTGACTTACTGGTCTTTGAAAGGACTCGGTTTGGTCCGGTGCCCGCCTTGCCAAAGGATATGGTTTGATCCGTGGCTCTAAAACTAGGGCTTGGTTTGCTCCCACGATTCCTCCAACCAAAGGACTGGGTTTGACCCATGGCCCTATAACACCAGTGGGTTTGACTCTGGTGACCCCTCTTGCCCCAAACCTTGGTTTAGCCCAGTGACTCCCTCCCCCCCGACCTGTCAGAAGACTCCATTGGCTTTTTCCCTGACGGGCCTGGCGTGGCCTGTGTTGCTGTGGACACTTAGTCAGCTGCAGCACTTGGCGTGACCCTTTGACCTCTCTGCCACTGGCCTCCCCCAGGGAACTCAGGTGCTTTACAGTGGCTGAACCAAATTCAAGGAGTGGGTTCCTCCAGCAGAATTTGGCCCTTGTCTTCCTGCCAACTGGGTTTGGCCACGACTTCCCAGGGAGAGGCCACGTGGGGCCTTCTCCCCTCCTCCCAAAGGCAGGCACCGTGCAGGGGGGAAGAGTTGGGGGCTCCTGAGGGGCAATAAAGGACCAGAATGAGGCCTGGAGTGTGTGAGACTCGTCCTTCTGCCCACTGCCTCATGAGGAGGAGGGAGGACCTGGCCCCCGGCTGTCCCTAGGCCACTGGGTCCGACCCCCAGCCCATTGGGTGCTATCCGGTCCTGCCTTCCCGATGTCTTATTCCGTCTGGAACTCACTCTAGGTCTCTGGGGGGGATCTCAGGTGTGCCTCCCAACTTTTTAAGGCTGCACCTCAGGCGGAACCGGGGAGCCCCCCGTGTCTCTTGTCTTTCCACCACTGCCCTCATGATCGCTTTCTCGCCATCTCTTTGTTCCCTCATCTGTGTCCCCATCTTCCCGCATCTCCTGGCCCCCAAGCTCTGTCTCCATGCCCCCTCCTGCTGTGTCTTTCCTCTGCCACCGCCTCCTCTCCAGCCTGCTTGGGCCGAGGCCCAGCCGCCCTGCCTGGCCGTCCTCCCTGGCTCCCCCTCTGCGGCTCGGAGCTGGCCCCACCCCCTGCCCCCCCTCGGGCCAGGCCTCTGATCCTCCTGTGGACACAGAGGTCGGCACCCGGCACAAGGCCCCTGGGGCCGAGGACAGGCCGCAGCACCTCAGCACCCACAGAGGCCTCGCGTCGGCCCGAACAGAAGATCCCCCGGCAGAGGGCATGGGGGTGGGCTGCCCCATCAGGTATGTGTCTCCGCACAGAGCCCCAGGGCCGGGGCCCTGGCTCGGAGAGCTGTCCCCGCCCCCACCTTCCTTGCTCGGGGGTCTACCCCGGCACCTGCAGCCCGTCCTCACCGTTCCCCGCTCAGTGACACATTCCAGCCCCAGAGCGATCTCCCCCCCCCCCTTCCCCCCCCCCCCAGCTCTGAGCCCACCTCCGTTTTCTGCCTGTTTTCACTGTCTCCCCCGTCCCCCCCATCCTGCGTCTCATCTAGTCCCATCTCTGTCCCCCATCTGGCTCTGTCACCACAGCTCCTGTGTCTCCACTTCTCTTTGCTCGGTTGCTCCTAGGCTGCCTGCCTCTTTTCTGTCCCCCTCTCTCTCCGGGCCTCTGTCCCCTCTGGGTTCCTGTGACCCCCTGGGGGGGGTCTCTGTCCTTCCCTCCATCTCAGGGCTGCCCCTCCACACTCGCCCTCCCTGCCCATCTCTGAGCCTCTGTACCCTCGTCTGTCTTCAGTCTCCACACCACATCCCCTCCTGTCCATCTCTGCCCTCCAACCTGCTGCCCAGACCCCACTAGTGAGCAGGGGGTGGGGGGCTTGTGAGGGGACAGCCAGGGTCTCAGGGAGCGTGTGAAAGTGTTCTGGGCGGAGGGGGGGTGGCACCTGGGGCGGGGCTTCTCAGCCCCAGATTAGACAGTGACTTTGACGTGAAGTTGATGCACCTTAAGCCCCGTGTCGCCTTTATATGGAAACATTAAGCTGCTCTCCCAGGTCAGGGGGAGGTGGGGGGGAGGACTTCAGGCTCTGGGTCCTCTTCTCTGGGGTCCTGCCGTTGCTGGTGGGAGGTGTGTGTGCCCTGAGGCCGAGTCCCACGTGCTGCCTGTGAACTGGGCCGCGTTGGATGCAGACAGGCCCCCCCCGGAGGTGAAGGCCCCTCCTGTCTGCTTTATGAAATGGACAAGATCACATCTGCCTCACGGGACTGAGGGTGGCACAGAAGGATTTAGGAAAGCAGAGTCCTGGGTTGGAAAGGCTCAGGACCAAAGCAGCAGCCCACCCCTGGCACTTCGTGCGTCTGGCCAGGTCTCTGAGCCCACTCCCCAGCCTGTGAACCGGAGTGATGATCCTGACCTCCCAGAATCCTGAGCAGCCAAGGTGAGCGGCGGGGTCTGGTGGAGTGCAGTGGGTGGGCTGCAGATACCTGGTGAGCTTGGCAAGGCCTGGGACAGCGGTGCTCAGGAAATAGGAGCGTGCAATCAGGTAGTCTGTGGTCCGGTCTGTCACTCAGGCTTTGGCACCAAGAAGGCTGGATGGGAGTTCAGGGTTTGCTGTTCCTTGGCTGAGGGACCTGGCACAAGGGATGGACCTCAGCGCCTCAGTTTGCTTTACTGTGAGAAGCAAAGTCCCTGCATCCAAGGGTTGTGGTCAGGGATGGGTGACTGTGTGTGAGGAGGCCCCGCCGGTCCCCGCGGCCCCTCCCCCATCATGTCATCAGGTGGCCCCTGAGAGGAGACTAGTGCATAGTGGGGGCTTCCAGACAGGAGAGGGCTGCAAATGTCGAGGTCAGAGCCTGGATTCTGACCTCAGACCTGCCCCCTTCAGCGACGAGCCTCGGTTTCCCGTTTCTGGAAGAACAATCTCTAATGCCCAGAATAGTTGAGGCTGAAAAAAAGAGAGTTGGGGCACATCATGGGCGTTGAACACAGCCAGGCGCGGTCCACTCTGACGTGAGCCTCAGCTTTGCCTCTGCAGTATGGGCCTAAGAAAATCCCACGTGGCGGAGCTGTCTGGGTGGTCAAGGACAGCAAGTGCAGAGCTCTGGGCAGGGGAGTGGGTACCTGTCGATGTTGAACTTGACATCAACTAACAACTCGCTTTCCTTGGAGTGAGTGCCCCCAGCCCTGCTAAGAAGCCCATGAGGATCCCCAGAGCCTGGCACAGGGGGCTTATAGTACCTAGGTGCTTGGTAGGTATTGATGGAACTGATCTGCAAAACATTTAACCTCTAGCCCAGACAGGTCCCGGAAGTCCCTCCACCACAGGGCCAGATGTTAACCCTGCAGCTGCTGGAGGGCAGTGAGGTCTGCAGGTCCATGCCTGGCCCCTCCCATCTTCCTCTCCCTCCTCCTAGTTCAGCTGCTAAGCTTCCCTCCATTTCTCAGATGAGGCGACTGAGGCTCAGAAAGGGATGTGACTTGCCACCAGTCATATAGCTAGTAAGTGCGCGAGCTGGGATTCAACCTACAACTGCCTGATTCAAAAGCCCAAGTTCTTTCTTCTGGATTCCTCTTCCTTTCAAGGTTTTTTGTTTTTTTTTTTAAATCCCCATTCCACAGATGAGCAAACTGAGGCTCCAGAAAATGAAGCCAGTGGTCCCAAGGCACACAGTGGGTCAGCAACTGAGTCAAGTTTGGGCCTTGGGTCTATATGACTGAAAGACCGTTCCTGACCTTGATGAAATCCAATTTCCCCATTTTACAGCTGAGGAAACAGGTTTAGAAAGGTTTCCCCACGATTTGAGAGTCAGGGCCAAGCCTGGGTTTTACTGTATGTTTTTGTTTTTTTGTAACAGCTTCATTGAAATATAACCCACATACCATACAATTCACACATTAAAGTGTACAATTCAGTGTTTTTTTTGTATATTCAGAGTTGTGCAACCATCACCACAATCAATTTTAGAACATTTTCATCACCCCATTAAGAAACCCCATTCCTCTGGCTATCGCTCCCCCCGTCCCCCCATCTCCCCAGTCCTGGGCACCACCAGTCTTATTTCTCAGTTTACAGATTTGCCCATTTTGGATATTTCATATAAATGGTATTACACAGTATATGGTCTTTAGTGATTGGCTTCTTTCACTTCTCATGGTGTTTTCAAGGTTCATCCATGTTGTAGCATCTATCATGCCATTTAAAAAAAAATTACTGGGTAGTATTCCACTGTGCGGATAGACCACATTTTATTCATTCATTCAACAACTGATGGATGTTTGGGTGTTTCCATCTTTTGGCTATTGTGAATAATACTGCTATGAATATCTGTGAACAGTGTTTGTGTGGACACTTTGTTGTGTTTTGGTTTTTATTCTTAATTTTCGGCTGCACTGCACGGCATGCGGGATCCTAGTTCCCCGACCAGGGATCGAACTTGAGCCCCCTGCAGTGGAAGCACAGTCCCAACCACTGGACCACCAGGGAAGTCCCCTGGACACTTATTTTTAATTCTCTTGGGTAGATACTTAGGCGTGGAATTGGTAACTCTATGTTTAACCATTTAAGGAACTGCCAGACTATTTTCCACACCAGCTGTGTAATTTTACATTCCACCAGTAGCATAGGAAGGTGCCAGTTTCTCCACATCTTTGTTAATGCTTTTCTGGTTTTGTTTTTTCTAATTTTTATAGCCATCCTAAGTGGGTATGAAGTGGTATCTCACTGTGGTTTTGATTTGCGTTTCCCTGATGGCATAATGTTGTCAATTATCTTTTCCTATACTTATTGACTATTTGTACAGTTGACCCTTGAAAAACATGCAGGTTAGGGGTGCTGACCCTCTGCACAGTAGAAAATATGAGTATAACTTTAGAGTTGGTCCTCTGTATCCATGGTTCTGAATCCAAGGATTCAACAAACTGCAGACCATGTAGTACTATTGTAGTATTTATTGAAAAAAATCTGTGTATAAGTGGACCCTTGCAGTTCAAACCCATGTTGTTCAAGGGTCAACTGTATATCTTTTTGGAAAAATGCCTATTCAGATCCTTTGCCCATTTTAAAATTGGGCTGTCTTTTTCTTATTGAGTTATAAGGGCTCTTTATATGTTTTGGATACAAATTTCTTAGATACCATTTGCAACTATTTTTTCCCATTAGTGGGTTGTCTTTTCACTTTCATCTTAGTGTCCTTGGAAGCACAAGAGTTTTTAATTTTGATGAAGTTCAAGTTATCTTTTTTTTTCCCTTCTGTTGCTTGTGCCTTCTGAGCTTTTGAGCTATAGGTGACCTCAGAGCCCGGGCTCATCTCTCCAAGCTGGAGTCACAGCAGCAGTTACCACTTAGTCTTTTTTTTGCGGTACGCGGGCCTCTCACTGCTGTGGCCTCTTCCCGTTGCGGAGCACAGGCCCCGGACGCACAGGCTCAGCGGCCGTGGCCCACGGGCCCAGCCGCTCCGCGGCATGTGGTATCCTCCCGGACCGGGGCACGAACCCGCGTCCCCTGCATCGGCCATCGGACTCCCAACCACTGCGCCACCAGGAAAGCCCTTTTTTTTTTTTAATTTTTAAAATTTTTATTGCAGTATAGTTGATTTACAATATTGTGTTAGTTTCAGATGTACAGCCGTGATTCAGTTATATATGTATAGTTTTTCAGATTCTTTTCCATTGTAGGTTTTATAAGATATTGAATATAGTTCCCTGTGCTATATAGTAGGTTGTTTATCTCTTTTATATATAGTAGTGTGTATCTGTTAATCCCAAACTCCTATTTTATCCACCACCCCCACCCACCCCTTTCCCCTTTGGTAACCGTAAGTTTGTTTTCTTTGTGACCTCTTAGTCTTTATTTTATGAGCATGGACTCCAGAGCTGGACTGCTAGCACTCAAATCCCAGCTTATTTCTGTACCTCTGTTTCCTCATCTGTAAAATGGGGGTGATAACGTCTACATTGTTGAGGTTCAAATATCTAAATTTATGGAAAGTGCTCCCAACAGTGTCTGGTGCTGTATAAATGTCCGCTCTAGTTACTGTAGTGCTTGCTGTAACACAGTACTGCTGCTATGGCTATAGTTGTGTTCCTGTTGTTGCTACACAACCATCTCCTATAGTATTACCATCAGTGTTTTTGTTTGTTTGCTTTGGCCGCGCTGTGCGGCCTGCGGGATCTTAGTTCCTCGACCAGGGATGGAACCTGCGCCCTTGGCAGTGAAGGCGCACGGTCCTAACCACTGGACTGCCAGGGAATTCCCCCACCAGTGTTGATGCTGTACTGTTCTGATTTTCCACCCATTTGCCAGATGAGGCCACTAAGGCCCAGGGAGCATGATGGCCAATGAGCTCCCCCATTTCCGGCAGCCCTGACGTGGCTGCCCGTTTCTTGTCCCCGCAGGTTCGGGGCGCCCGCCCCCCGCTAGGCCAAGTGGAGGGGGTGTCCCCGCCCAATGGGCCTGGCCAGGGCCCTGCGCCGCCTGAGCGGCGCCCTGGAGTCGGCGAACAATCGGGCGGGAGATGAGGAGCAGGCCGGGCCCGAGTTGTGCCGCAACGGGTGGGCGCCAGCGCAGTCGCAAGTGGGGCGGCGCCGCGGGCGCTTCGTCAAGAAGGACGGGCACTGCAACGTGCGCTTCGTGAACCTGGGCGGCCAGGGCGCGCGCTACCTGAGCGACCTGTTCACCACGTGCGTGGACGTGCGCTGGCGCTGGATGTGCCTGCTCTTCTCCTGCTCCTTCCTCGCCTCCTGGCTGCTCTTTGGCCTGGCCTTCTGGCTCATCGCCTCCCTGCACGGCGACCTGGCTGCCCCACCGCCAACCGCCCCCTGCTTCTCGCAGGTGGCTAGCTTCTTGGCCGCCTTCCTCTTCGCGCTGGAGACGCAGACGTCCATTGGCTACGGCGTGCGCAGCGTCACCGAGGAGTGTCCGGCCGCCGTGGCCGCTGTGGTGCTGCAGTGCATCGCCGGTTGCGTGCTGGACGCCTTTGTCGTGGGCGCCGTCATGGCCAAGATGGCCAAGCCCAAGAAGCGCAACGAGACGCTGATCTTCAGCGAGAACGCCGTCGTGGCGCTGCGCGACCGCCGCCTCTGCCTCATGTGGCGCGTCGGCAACCTGCGCCGCAGCCACCTCGTCGAGGCCCACGTGCGGGCCCAGCTGCTGCAGGTGCGAGACAGTCCCGGCGGGAGACCACGCCCCCTGGTGGGCGGGCCGTTTCACGAGTTCGGGGGGGGGGGGTAGGTGGCCTGGGGGATGGTGGGAGTTGTAGGTCTAAGGGACAGGTGTGCGTGGAGCCTGGAGGGGATCTGGACTACAATTCCCAGCAGCCTCCTGGGGGCAGGGCCGCTTCCGCCCCACCTTGTGGGCTGAGGATGGCTCCCCGAGATGTTGTAGATGTAAACCCAAGGGAAAGGTCTCTGATCATTTCTTCCTGGAGGCCTAGACTTCAGACAGATTTTGAGACTTATGGAGCTCCCTGTGGATTGAGGATGGGCCCTCTATCGAATTGTGGGAAATCCAGACCTGCGAGGTCCACGCCTGGACGGTAAAGGCTCTGAACTACAATTCCCAGAAGCTCTGGGGGCAGGGAAATTGCCCATCTGGGGTGGTCTGAGGAGGCGTTGTAGTTTTGTGGGTGGTGTAAACCACGGCTCAGGTTTACGATTCTCAGCAGATATTGTGGTACAGAGAGAGACCTGTGACTGAGGCCAGACCCCTATGGGCTTGTGGGAGATGTAGGCCCGAGGACGGGGTGCAACTCAACTCACACCTGCAGAATCAGGGAACACAATTCTCCATGGCCTCTGGGCATCATTTGTGAGAGACTTCATTCCCCACCTCAGGGGCCCAGACTCTCCCACCAGCCTCCTGCTCAGAGAAGTACAAGGCAGTGTTTGGGAAACTCTTGAATTTTAGCATCTCACCAAACAAAAAAACCCAAAACAAACAAAAAACTACAATTCCCATTGGTCCCTGGGGCAGCGACTCCTTCCAGCGCCCTGATGAAGGTGCCTTAGAATTGTGTTTCTAGAATTGTGGTCAAACTGCCCAAGCAAATTCTGGGGCAGCAGCTGCCCTTGCCTTGCAAGTAAAGACACTTAAGAACTCTGGTCTGAGGCTGGACTGGGGTGAGAGGGAGGACGGGGTTGTGGTGGGAACTACAACTCCCAGCGGCCTCTGGGGGCTCTTGGAGACAGTGGCAAGAGAATGAGTCCCCAGCCCCCCCACCTCTGTCTCCTGCTTGACTGAAACACCAGGATTCACGACCAGGAGGGACACTGTCTCTCCCAGAAGTCTTTGGGGTGCTGACATGGCCTGGGAAGTGGGTATGGAACCAATGGGTAGATGGGGTGAAACTGCCACCACCTGGCCTGGGCTTAGGCCCCCACCCCACACAAATACACAGACACACAAGGGGATGGAGGCAGTTGGTTTGCGGGTGTGGGTAGATAGCCCAGAGGCCAGCCTGAGGCAGTGGTGAAACATAGGCTGCTGGACCTAGATTGCCATCCTGGTTTATCTTTCTCTGGCCATATATTGAAAGCCATTTTTCTATCCCTCTCCTCCTTCTCCAATTGCTGGTTGGATGTCATTCTTATCTGTTGTCTCTTTAACTCCGTTTCTGTCTTGCTGATTTCTGTGGGTCTATGTGAATGTCATTCTGTCCCTCTCTTTTTCTCTCCCCTGTCTTTCTCGGATTTCTTTCCTCAATCCCTGTCTGAGTCTCTGGGCCTCCGTCCTCTCCTCCCTGGACCTCCATCTCCCTCTCTCTGGGTCCTTCTCTCTTTCTGGCTTACCATCCCCCTCTCTCTGGGTCCATGTTCTCCCCACACCCCAACACCTACTGGTCTCTGCCCTCCTCTTTCTCTGCATCTCTCTCCCCTCCTCTCGCTGTCTCTGTCTCCACTTATCTCTCTGCTCCCTAATGTCTGTCTTTGGCCACTCGCCTTTTGCTACAGCCTCGCGTGACCCCGGAGGGTGAGTACATACCACTGGACCACCAGGATGTGGACGTGGGCTTTGATGGTGGCACCGATCGCATCTTCCTTGTGTCTCCCATCACCATCGTGCATGAGATCGACTCTGCCAGTCCTCTGTATGAACTAGGGCGCGCCGAGCTGGCCCGGGCTGACTTTGAGCTGGTGGTCATTCTCGAGGGCATGGTCGAGGCCACAGCTATGACCACACAGTGTCGCTCTTCCTACCTCCCTGGTGAGCTGCTCTGGGGACATCGTTTTGAGCCGGTCCTCTTCCAGCGTGGCTCCCAGTACGAGGTTGACTATCGCCACTTCCATCGCACTTACGAGGTCCCAGGGACACCCGTCTGCAGCGCCAAGGAGCTGGACGAACGGGCAGAGCGTGCTTCCCACAGCCCCAAGTCTGGCTTCCCCAGCTCTCTGGCAGCCTTTTGCTATGAGAATGAACTTGCTCTGAGTTGCTGCCACGAGGAAGAGGAGGAAGAGGAGGAAGAGGAGGAAGAGGAGAGGGATGCGGCAGAGGCAGAAGACAGGGCTGCCAGCCCCCGAGTACTCACACCAACCCTGGCGCTGACCTTGCCCCCATGATACAAGCTGGTACCCCCCTATTTGTACCCCTTTCCCAGAGGTAGCAAGATGGAGAGATTGGGCCCTCTCCTGGGATGAGGGCAGGTGTTTCCTAAGACCAACAGGCCTGCTGGGTAAATTATCAGCTGGTGATGTTCTGCCACATCTAGTGGACCTACCAATGAACATACTGGACCTTAATTCCTCTGAATTCTGTGCTCCCTCCTGAGACCCCTTTGTCAGCCCAATTCCTGAGTCTCCCCAGAGATAAGGGATCCAGAATTCTAGACCACCGAAGAGGCAAGGACTGGTATTTCTAGATTCCTCTAGGTGGCTGGTTTGGTTTGTCAAGCAGGATCATGAAATGATCGTACAGCCCACCTCCAGGGGAAGAAGTCATCTGTTCTCAAGCAGCAGCAGAGATGAAGAATTTGTTGGTCTGAATTGACCTAAGATTCAAGGCACTGTTTCTTCTCGACTCAGCCAACCACATAGCAAGTCATTTTTTCTAGACGACCTAAGGAGGGAAAGTTATGGAATGCCCCAAGAATTCAAGACTATATTGATTGACCAATGACAAGGAATGTTGACTGCAAGTCAGGAAAAGACTTTGCGGTTGCAGAAAACCCCAGTGTTGAGATTCTGTGAATACAGATTGACCACAGAGGCAAGCACTGGGGATTCTAGAACAGCTGTGACCAGAGATTGGACTACTCCAGAAACTAAAGAGTTATGTTTCTAGAATGCACAAAACAATTGGAGAGTCTGTGGGTCTAGAAGGACTAAAGTGACAGATTGGGAGTTCTTGATAGGCGATAACTCCAGACCACTGGCTCTACAGCATCGAACCGAGGGGGAGAATCAACGCTCTACATGATCCACAGGCTTTGTGTCTTTTTTAAGTGCCATTCTAGAATGTCCAAAGGAATCAAGATTCTGTGGCTCTAGATTGATCACAGAGTCAGGGAAGGATTGGCAATTCTGATGTCTGAGGTGTGCTGGTTGCAGTTTGCCCAGTGGAGTGGAGACTCTCAATGAGGATAGATGACTGCTTTGTGGTTCTGTAATGCCAAAAGGAATCAAGGCTCCAGGGATCCAGAGTTGTCCGTTATCAAAACCCGGAAGTTCTAATCAGCTCCTAGAACTTGGCAGTTTGAGGAGGTGGACTCGGGACTTGACGGGCAGCATTGCTGGGCTGACCTAGAAGGTGAGGGCTCGGGTGAGACCCTGTGGGTGACAGGGCTAGTTATTGGGCAAGGGAAGGGAGAGGCCCAAGGCTGGTGAGTCTGCAGTGCTCTGGAATCTTCCACCTAGTGATGTGTGTCTATTTCTTAAAGATGTTATACATATGTGTATTATATATATATAATATAAATAAAGATATCTATCTATTTTTTCCTGTGTTCCTACAGTAGGGTTAGAAATTGAGCTTGAGTTAGTGGAATGGAGTGCTTTACAAGGATCCAGGAAGCTTTGCTCTAGACCCCAGCTCTGCCTCAACTAACTGTGTGACTTTGAGCAAATCACGCCCTTCTCCTCACCTCAGTTTCCCCATCTGTAAAAACGAGGTATTGGAACTTGAAGTTCTCCAAGGGCCTTTCCCCGAGGATGATTCCTCACTTCACTGAGCGTTGGATGGGGGTGAGGGTCCTAGAGATACCCCAGCTCTCCCTGGTGCTGGAATGCCTGGTCTTCTGGGGGCAACAGGGATGGGAGATGCTCTCAGAGGCCAGGTCTGAACCTGGATGTCTGAATGACAGGGCAGGCAAGGGGGAGGGAGGGTTGTGGCTCAGGGCCAGAATCACCTCCTCTCTGGTCCAGCTTGGGGGCAGGGGAAGGAGGAGGCACCTCTGAATGTCAGGGGAATGTATGTGTTTAGGGGGAGACTTGTCCCCCAGATTAGATCATTGGGAGCCCTGTGATAGAATGGTGTGTCTGGGAGTGTGCTTCTGGGGTACATACAGGTCCTTGGATCTGGCCCCTGCCCATGCTGCTATCTACCTAAGTGCCCAGCAGGCTAGAAGCCAGCCGCAGAAGGAGCCAGTGCCAGGGAGGACACGTTCCCACCCCTGTGTCCCAGGATAGAGGGCAGGCACTGTCATTACCCATCAGCCTGCCCCAGTGCTGCATCAACCCAGGTCCCCCCTTCTGGTTTCCCCACCTCCCTTTATCCTGCAGAATCCCCACATAATAACCGGATGGGATTAATTAGCTGGCTGCTACCCCAGCTCAGGGTGGCTGGGGTAGGTATCGGGGGCAAAGGAAACCCAAGCATGAAGAAGGGTGTTAAGTTGGGGGTGAAGGGACAGGAAAAGGGTTCTGTTTGGAAGGAGAGAGAGTGGGGTCAGGGCTGGTGCAACCTGGGTTCCTGCTAGGGAGCGCAGAGCTTGAGCCACTCGTAAAGGTCACTGAGGGGATTAGGAGGCTCCGTGGCTAATCTGTCAGCTTAACCAGGTCCTGGCCCGGAATGTGTCCCCACCTGCCTAGCTCAGGGAAGGCGAGTGAGGACCAGGCCCAGACACCACCTCAGACCTGATAAGGGACCTGCCCGTTTCGGGGGTGCCCAATATCTCCTTCCGAGCCAGACCCCTGCACGTGCTTTGCCTGCAAGGAATGGGAATGAAAGGTGGGGGAGGGGAAATGTCCTCAGATGCGAGAGAACTTGGAGAGGAGGGAGGATTTTAAGAAGAGCAAGAGTATGAGAGGAGGGGGAAGCGAGTCACAGAAGACAGAAAGGACTCTGAGAAGAGGGAAGGAATCAGAGGTGGGAGGATGCTGAGGAAAGGGGAATTGTAGCGGAGAAGGATGCTAAAATAAGGGGAGGACTTTTGGGGAGAGAGAGAGGAGACTGAGAGGCAGCCTGAGGCAGGAAGGCGGAGCCTGTGCTTTCACTGTATTTGGCCTTCCTCTGTTGTCCCGTTCTCCACGACTGAGACTAAAAAGCGCAGCATTTGGAAGAAAAAAATAAGTCTTTTGTTTCACCACTCCTTGACTCTGAAGAGGCTGAGGTGGATGGGGAGGTCAAGGGAGAGGGTAAGAAATGGGTCTGGAGATCGGAGGGGCCAGTACCCGGAGGTAGGAAGCCAAAAGAAAGCTGAGCCAAAGCTACTCCCGGTTGCGCGGCAACCGCTGCAGTCAAAAGCCAGCTGGGCCGGCTAGGAGGTGTGGCTCACGGAAATAACCGAGGGTCGTGGCCCCGCCCCCTGGCAACAAGCCCAACAAAGGACCGCCCCCTAGCAACGTATTGCTAGAGGCGGGGCTCGGTTGACCTGGTATCCTAGGGCCCAGAGCCCTTGCGCAGGCGTAGTTCTCTCTGCTTCTGCTTAGTCCCACCTCCACGCAACTCCTTTCCGAGGCTTCTCATTGGTGAGCAAGCCAGCCAAGAGCCGTCTTTAGTTTCGGAGGCGGGGCCCGGCCCCTGCTCGCACTTCGATTGGCCCCACAGACCGTCTACCTCCGGCCGGACATTGCTACGTCTACTCCTTGCGCGTCTATTGGCCCTGGAGGGCGAGTCTTCGGTATCGGAGGCGGAGCAGACGAGAGGGCCCGCCGTGGATTTGGCGGTGTCAAAACGAGGGGCGGTCCCTACTGGCGGGGCGGTTGGGAGGCGAAGGGAGAGTCTTTTCAGCGCTGAGGACTGGCGCTGAGGAGGCGGCGGTGGCTCCCGGGGCGTTTGAGCGGGCTCACCCGAGCCCGCGGGCCAACGCGGATCCAGGCCCGACCGGCGGGACCGCCCCGGACTCCCCGCGGGCCTTCCTAGCCGCCATGGAGGACGGTGTCTATGGTAAGTCGGGGAGGGGCGGGGCCGTCTGGGAGCAGATGGAGCGTTTCGGCCCCAGCATTCTGCCGCGAGCGTTCTTCCCGGCGCGCGCCCTGCGAAGCTGTTCGGCTCTGTCGTCGCTTCGCTTTTGTGGGGCACGGGACGGGCTTCCGGCGGGGCAGGAGAGTGGGGCGTTCCAGGCCATTGTTTGGGCCGAGCCTGTTTCCGGTGGCAGCGGGAGGGGGTGGGAGCGGCGGAGGCGAGGCCGGGGAGGAACCATTCCCTCTGGAGGGGCCGGGCGAGCCCAGTGCCTACTGGGAGAGGGGAGGGGGCTTTTGGGGACGCTGGGGTGAGGAGAGATCTTGGGGGCTACAGATTCCGCTAAGGCGGGGACGGGGGCCTTCGATGCCCCGCCCCCTTCCTCAACTCTTGCAAGCTGTCATCAGCTTCGCCTGCCATAGTTACTTTCCATGGACCCAGGAGTCCGGACACCCAGATCCACAGCTACCTCGCCAAGAATGGAGGCAGAAAACCAAGGCCTCAGCCTCCTTTCAAGTAATGGACCGAAGTTCAAGCTTCCAGCCCTTTTTTCCCCACAGACCTAAGAGTTCAGGCTCCCAGTCCCCTTCTCCCCCAGGACTAAAGAGTCTAGGTTCCTAGCCCTTCGTCCCCTGGACTGAGGAGTCCAGGCTGTACCCCGTCTTCCAGTAGACAGGAGGCTGGACTCTCATTCTCCTCCTGCCCTTGAACCTAGGAGCCCTGTCCTCCCCCAGATTTCAGAAGTCCACGCTCCCAGTCCCCAGAACTGACCTCCCACCCGTGATGCCTTCCTCCAGAACCCCCGGACCTGACTCCGGAGGAGCGGATGGAGCTGGAGAACATCCGGCGGCGGAAGCAGGAGCTGCTGGTGGAGATCCAGCGCCTGCGCGAGGAGCTCAGCGAAGCCATGAGCGAGGTGGAGGGTCTGGAGGCCAATGAGGGCAGGTGAGGGCTGGGGCAGGGAACCTGGGGGTCACGAGGCCAGGCCAGGGCCAGGGATGCCCAGGCATTGACCCTCTACCCTCCGTTCTCTGTCCCTGCAGCAAGACCTTGCAACGGAACCGGAAGATGGCAATGGGCAGGAAGAAGTTCAATATGGACCCCAAAAAGGTGCTTGGGGCCACAGGGCTGGGATCAGCCAGGCAGACATCCAGACGGGGGATTCTGGCATCTCTCTGTTCAGAAGTATGGTGGTTAAAGGTCTACCTTAGGTGCACGGACTTGGTCCTGATCCCAGGATTCAGATATTGGCTGCATTTGTTCCTGGGCTGGAACTTCCGCCCGGGGAGGGGGGTCTTCTTCCCCTTTTTGCTCACATTCTAGGGCCCACTTCTGTTGTCACCTGGAGTCCCCAGGTGGAGCTCGATTGAGTCTGGTAGGGAATATGGACAGAGATGTGTACAGAAGAGGGTTGACGAGTGCCATGACAGAGAGAGAGAGAGGTACCAGGGCTGTGGACACTCAGGGCAGCAAGCCTGGTGGCATCAAGGAGGGCTTCCCTGAGGAGGGTATATTCGGGTCAGGTTTGAAGGATGAGTTAGTGTTCACCAGGTGGAGGAAAGATGTTTGTTCGTTCATTCAGTCATTCATTTTACACCCATTTCCTGAGGCCTCCCTCGGGCCTGCCCCTCTGCTAGGCAATGCTGAGGACCCAGAGAAGAGTTTGACCCTGCCTTGCCCTCAGGGAGCCCCTAGATATGGATACCATGATCCAGAGTGAGATAGCCACAGTGGTGGTCCTCGTGGCATCAGGAGAGCCTGAGAAAGCCTTAGTCCAGCCTGAGGCTTGGCCCTCACAGCCCTTGATGGACTGCTGTCTACTAACAGTTTCCAACTTTATTCTTCTTGTCCAAAGCAATGGTAGTTTGTTCAGTCATTCAGCAAACATTCATGGAGCTGCTGTTCGTTGCCAGACCCTGCTTCCGGGGGGGCTGGAATTAACCAGGCAAAGGCAGAGGGAACAGTAGATGCAAAGGCTAAGACGTGGGACGGATGGTATTTAAGGACTTGGGAAAAGCCTGAAAGTAAAACTCGGCCCTACTCCGTTGAGGGTGGGGGTGGCTTTGGAGGCTCTGGTTTCTGAGGATGTGGGGGGAGGGGCGTGGCTTTCTGAGTACCCAGTCCTGAGACCCAGCTCCCACCCCCCAGGGGATCCAGTTCCTGGTGGAGAATGAACTTCTGCAGAACACACCCGAGGAGATCGCCCGCTTCCTGTACAAGGGCGAAGGCCTGAACAAGACGGCCATCGGGGACTACCTGGGGGAGAGGTGAGACCTGCCCCCTTCCCCCCCCGCCCCCCCACCACCTCCTGCTTGGCTTCTCACCTCGGCCCCATGCACCCAACTCCTCCCGAGAAGAGGCCCTGATAGATCAGCCTTACGACTGGATTTTGACAAAATGGGCTGATAGGAGTCTGGGGGAGCCTGGGACCTTCTGGGGAACTGGGGACCATCTGTGAGCATCTGGGGGGTGTGGGACCTTTGTGGACATCTGGGCAATGTGGGGACC